TTTCAGCCTTTTAAGATTTTTAGACGCAATGATTACCTATATATCGTCTGCTCAATCGATCTCCAGGCTCTGTAAAATGAGTTACAGAAACTTTGCGAGAAATCGTAAGTTGTTTAAATTCATAAAAATTTATTTTCTCTGATGCTTGGGCTTAGCTTGAGGACAAGAGGTCCTGGGTTTCACTGGTGGTTGCACAAAGTCCATAACACGGTAAAAAAGATTAGTGTCTTTAATAGGAGGCCGGATTTCTAAAATAAAATAAAAAACGCAACTGTCCTGCAGTAGTTAAACCATGCAGAAAACTACATTATAAAAATGTTTGGCCTATACAATGAATATGCCTTCAATAATAATATGCCGAGCTTTTCTGTATCATCAGCTGGGTTTTACATCATTTATTACTCCGCCTTGAACAATAAGGAACCTCGTTTAAGCTGACGTTATTGAAGTGCCGTGTATGACGATAAAACAATACATCATATGAGAAAAGTACAGTACATCAGCATCGTCCTGCTTTACTTGATGCCATGCATGATGCACGTAGACTATATATATATTTACGCACCACCAGCACCGTCGGACTGACGTACTTCCACATGACGGTCCAGAACATGTGCCAGGCCTTGCTCTGCTTGCCGATCATCTCGCACACGTTGCCCAGGAACCGCTCGGCGCCGTAGTGCCAGGCGACGAGGAGACACTCGGTCGTGGCAATGAGCATCACGGACCAGTTGGCCGCGTACGTGTCCAGCAGCTCCAGCCAGTAGGTTCCTCCCTAAATATATATATATATACTGTATATATATGGAGATTTACGAGTACCGTATGCGATCACAGTATAATGTTTCGTCAATATAGGGGAAAATGGATATATTACTGTACTGTACAACTGTAGCGGGGTTCCGACGATGATTCGACCATCATCATCAGGGATACTTGCTATTGAAGCTCAGCAAATCTGCCCCACTGACATCATCCATCAGACAATGTCCCAATAAGATACAAACACGACTGTACAGTACTTGACCAACATTTCTATCGAAAAAGCCATTCTATATAGATTATAGAAAATACATTTCTTTGGAAAATATACAAATAATTGAACAATTTCTCTTTTTCCAAATTTTCAAACCTCTTGAATAAATTCATCTCTTTCTACAGTACCAAATACGTTATATACCTGCTGAGCAACACCTTTTTTTTTTTTTAAACATTTTTCCAAGCAACTGCTGGGGGGATAAATGGAATAATAAAAAGGCGAGTGTCATTATTTGTAGGTTAACGATAATTTTCTCTTGAAATGATGAATAAACTATGGCGGAATTTCTGTGAAATCCTTACATATAAAAGCAAACCATCATCTGCATGTCTATCGTCTCTTGCATCAATGAACTTACACCTTGCCTAAAAACCTCAAACGCCCCCAAATTTTCCCAGGTTTGAAATGTTTTTTTAGTGAGGTGATCGAGATTCACGATNCTCATCCTCTTTTTTCTTGTGGAAAATGGAAATCAACCCTGGCGTTGATCAATTCGAAAAAGGTAAAAGGCAGTGCAATACAGTTCAAGATTCTCGATGTGTAAAAAAGTGAGTAACTTTTTCTTCACTGCGAAAATTCCAGACCTTTTGCCTTATACGCAGTATATAGTGTGCAGTTCAGCATTGGATAATGATAACGTTTTTATTGAATTAATAATCTCTCCGTAGTTACGAAAAAATTTGCTGACCAAATAACAGGCAAGAAAGAGAACTTGCAAGCCTGACTCACTGAATAAAGAGCTGCATTTTCAAAATAAAAAGTTCAAAGATGACAAATACTATGCACATTGAAATGCATCAACGCGAATTAATTATACAATTTTTCGACGTGCTTTCACCCGAAAAATGTAAAAAATTCGACTGGGTCATCATTTTAAAGTTATGCAAGCCTCCTGAAAAAAAACCCCGAAATATTAACGATTAACTTCCGTCCCTGAGGGTATTTGCCAAAAAATCCCGCCAATCTAACTTAATGCAAGGATCAATTGATTTGATTTTTAGGTGAAGATGACGTCGGTCGATTTTATAGCTTACTGTCTTTCCTTTCAAAAGCCAGTTAATTTATTTTGAAGAAGAAAAAGATCCTTCCAGATTCTCGGCAGATGACCATCACCATTGTGGAAGATACAGTGCTTTCAATACAAATTACATAAAAAGGATTGATTGCGTTGAAGGTCTTTGCTTGAACGCGAGATGCTCTCGTCTGTCTCTAATTTCACAGCCAAAAAATAATAATCAAACAGAAAATTGGCTCGTGAAAAGGTGAACCAAAGAACGAGTGCTCGAAACCATATTCCGCTGTTACCATCAGATTAATTCTTTCGCGGGAGAATTTCGAGAGGAGAAAAAATGTCAGACATTTCTTCCTTGCAGCTAGAAAATTGAATCGTGTCTCCTCCCGACTTGACCGACCGCTTTCATAAGTCATTTCAAAAGGAACAGAGGAGCTTTCATTGAGAAAAGCAAAGAGTTCATCATGACCTCTCTAATTTCACAGCGCCTTTTGAATAGATACTGTATATCCAAAATTTTCCCGTCCCTGAAACAAATCGGCATTTAACGAAACTTTGAAACTTTTACCACCCCACCCCACCTCAAAGTCTTCGTGTTTTTCTCCAATATTCTCGAAGTCGATACCCGTGATGATGTAAATGAAAGTACCTGTGCACTTCACCTGTGCTTCAGTTCTCATCCCACAAAGCTTTTTTTTTTTGTGCACTTACCGGAGTGCAGAAGATGACTCCTCCGAGGAAACCAGCCAAAGAAACAACTCCGACAGTCATCACTTTCTTTTCGCGCAAAGATGGGAGGCCATCGAGGATTGCAGTCGTCACCGTCTCCATCAATGCGAACTGGAAAGGCATAAAATTACTGTTGTAGAAACCGAGTCAATTTTTCTTGATGCGAGACTTTGAACTTGATCATGGTACAGTATATGCATTCATTACACTCCTCCTCAGACATATACCCTCATATTTTTACATTCTAAAGAAGAAAAATGAGGAAATACAATAATTGGAGAATACATATTATTAAGTCTAAGTCCACCTAACCTCACTCAGTCTTACCTAACCTAACTTAACCCAACTTAACCTGATTCAACCCAACTTCACCTTATCTAACCTATGTAGCCGTATCTATCTAATGAGCTTTTCCCATTTCAAGATGCTTGAACCAGACAGTAATTGTGCCCAAAATGGGAAGTACAGGAACAGAAAGGCAGTGTGGGTGCTCTGGGTAGAACAGGTTTTCCTCTGAAACTCAGACATATCCTCCATTTTCTTGTCCACTCGGAAATAATTTAGTGATTTTTTTTTTAATTTCCGTTTTCCCAAGTTTGCAATGTGTTCGCGAGGAAGGAACTCCAGAGTACTTCATACCTGGGATGTCAGGCATTCCACTGGATCAAGTTTTTTCCATCAATCACTCTGCACAATCTTTCTTTTAGCTATACAGTACAGACAGTACTCTTCCATTACTTAAATGCCCCTCCTTCCTTGAGCCATAATCACGAATAACGCAGACTCATCACAAGTCTAAAATAGGCGACCACAAGTGTACGAGTATTATTGTACTATAGAAAAAATCATACGATGCTTGAACATAACCATGCATAGCACAGACATCAGAAAACGTTAAGAAAAGGAGGACGACGTCTTTTTAATGGTGGATATAGTTTTTGCGTATTATACTGTATTCGTTTTCTGTTCCCTGCACATGTGCGTGGACTTGAAATTGGAATATACAGTAGCTGAAGATGCATCGCATTCTGTATATACAGTACACGCAGTGCAGTGGAGGGACGGGAAGGAAGAAAAGAAAGTTGGCGCATTTTCATTGCTGCGTGTGAGCAGAAAATGAGTTGAAAGTTCAGTCCTATACATATGCAGTATTGTGCAATATTGTACTGCAAATATACAGTACTCGCCTGGGAATCCAGCCCCAGCGTGAGAAGCATGAAGAAGAACATGAAGGACCAGAGCGGGGCCAGGGGCAGTCTGGCCACCACCTCGGGGTACACGACGAAGGCCAGTCCTGGCCCGGCATCGACCACCTTGTCAATGTCCACGTTCAGCTCGTGGGCCAGGAACCCGATGACCGAGAAGATGACGAACCCGGCGAAAATGGACGTCAACACGTTGGACGCGGACACGATCAGAGCATCCCTATGGATATAAAACATGTATAAAACATTACGATGATGATGATGAAATCGACCACAAGTGGAATCTATAGGTCAAGAAATCAAGCCAGACATTTCGATTTTCTCGCCGTCCATCCGATTCACTCACTTATAGCAGTTGTTGTGAAACTTGTTGTAGGACGACAACGTGATCAGGCCTCCCCACGCAGGACTCAATGCGAAGAAGATCTGCACAGCTGCCTCACCCCAAACCTATTCCAGCATATATATATACAGCACACACATACACAAAAAAAACAACACTCATTGACATATTTGGTACTATAATTAATGGAATGCTGATGATGGCGCACATGACCTGCACGTACCCATAAAGGTCATCAAGCATGCTAGTTGATGTAGGCTTTCCTTCTCTTGGTTTTTTTTTTTTTACAGGTTGATGCTGGTGAGTTTGTGGTGTTTTTACATACTTGAACTTATAGTAGCTTTGTTTGACGAGAAATTCAACAGTTATTTGCCGTGTACAAAAGTTATTCCCATCACATTGTTCCGTCACTTGATCAAAATTTATGAATATAGTGGGGCCCCAGATTGAGGAAATAATTGGTGATTGAACCTTGTCCCTACCTCAAAATGTCCGCATGTTGGATCACGTTTTCTCTTATACTTTATTGGGAACATCTTTATTTGTTTCTCAAGCTTTTGATCGAGAATTGGGAAAAACCCTGAAAAGTGAATTCGATTTTTTTTTTCTAAATTTTAAGTTGCAGAAAATAACTGTGCAGAAAAAAGCCCACACATAATTTGATATTGTGGTAAAAAAAAGAAGACCAAAAAGCAAAGATAAAACACGACTCTTCCTGTAATGTACTCAGATGATGGAGAGAACTGTGAAAAATAAATTCAACACATGCCGAGCAGTTTTTGCTTGTGAATTATGGTGTATTTATCACTGTATAACATTTCTTTTTAGTTTTTATGAACATTAAGTAGCTAAATTTGTTCATCAACAGGTTTTGAAAAAATAATTCGCCGATTTGCCTAGAAATTCTGGTATCTCGAGTCAGTTTCTGCATTACGGGGTAGATTTTATAAGCTCTCAAGTGTCCTTGAGTCCAATTGTCCTTGACACGTCGGGGCCCCATTACTGTAATTCAATTTTCACCATGATCACTACTCGGCTGAGTAAACTGCAAGTATTTCAAAGAAATAGTCCTGGATTGAATCATTTAGACCGCGGAGGCAGAACAACTCAGTTTCAAGGGGAATAACGCATTTTCCCTTTTCTAAAAACGCTCGTAACTTTTTATGAACGCAGATGAAGACCCCTCATCGAGATAATGCATTCGAAAGAAACAACACATTTCCTTTTAGTTGGATTTCATCGAATTTTTTTCTCAACAGCGAGATTCGTCATCCTCAATTTTTTTGATTTATTCAAAGTGCATTAGAACCAGCTTCAAGGTTTTTCCCACGCACTCGATCTCGTGAAACATTTATTTCATGGGTTTTGAGAAAAACATTGTCATTCTCGTGTGGGCGTCAGAAAGCTCATGCCAGAGTTTTCCCATATATATGTCCGACATAATCATTTGCTGTATTTTTCAACCTGAAGTAAACATTAGAATTCTCTGCTGCGAATAAGAATAACATGTTGTGCAAAAGATTCCGCCGAAGGTTCTCGCAACTTTTGATTTGCGCACAATAAGATAAAACCTGATCATCAGAAACTGCGCCGTCAATTCCGTATTGACACGAGTATACAGAGCCGTGCACATGTAGTCGGTATATGGAGCAAATTGAGTCGCAGGAAGCAACGGGTTTTCGTCAACAAGCTCGTATGCCCGGGGGGATGTTTTTTGAAATGCATGCTGACATCGTGCTCAAGAACGTGGAATATATACTGTACTTGGTGCTTACCTTGGCTTCGCCTAGCTTCGACAGATCCGGAGTCAAGTACCACACAATGCCCTCCATTGCCCCGGGCAACGTGATTCCTCGGAAGAAGAGCAGGAACAACACGACGTACGGGAACAAAGCCGTGAAGTACACGACCTGCAAACATCATTTTGCAAACAGCGATGATGAGCACATCAGAGCTGATTTTTTCATGCACATCAGTATATACAGTATCACATGCAGCACGCTGATTTTACGCCAGCGATCGTATTGCAGGAATTTTGCGAAATTAAGGGACGAATATTTGAAGAAGTATATAAATATTTGTTCTATCGTTCCATAGGCTTTCGATGCTGTAATCAAAAAGTTTAACAATACATTTTTGGCACGAGGTAAGTGAGTCGTCCAATGCACCTGTATTATTTTATGCTTTCCCTCGCGAGTATTTATTTATTTATTTTTAATGAGGAACATCTTCGTCCTTTCCGGTGAACAAATTGGGCATGTGTGTCTGCTGAACACCGCTCAATTAAATCGTGATCCAATTGGCACGATGGTCAAGAAAAATTCGGTTTAATCTCACATTTAAAATTTTTCAATAAGTGTGAATGCTCAGCAGCAACATTTGATTGGGTTCCAATCTAAGCGAAACTCCTCAACTAACAGTACAAATCTACATGATTATTAGCATATACAATGTTTCTATTCAATTTTTTTCGTGTTACAGTCGTTGTGACCCGGTTTCGAGAAAAGCTGCAATTAAGAAATACTAGGAAAATATCTGAAACATTTACTCGATTCCGCCAGCTTTCTGAATTCCGGAAACTCCGACCTTGATTACATATACTGTATTTTTAAAATAACTATCAGCAGAGTGCTAATCTAAGCCCTTTCTTTCTCAAAATCCAGTGTTTCTTTTTAAAATAAAATTACATTCCCGCTTTAAAAGATGTTATTTAATTTGTAGACTTCCATGACCGACATGAATAGCCGATAATTTTAGCCCCAGAAAAAGCTGAAAGGTGTTATTAAAAAAAGCAATTGAGAACCTGGTGAAAATAGATTGCCTCATGATGGCTTGGTTTAAAACTGTTTGCGTTTTCATGCGATTCAAAGAAGAACTTCAAGTCCTACGGACGGGTTTAGTTTTTTTTCTTGAGACGGATGGTTTTTCTGCCAGGACTTGAGAAAACGTTTGTGACGCTTTAAAAACATGTTTCAAGTGGCATGTTTGGCAGGGAAACAGTACAGGGAATACGGGAAAAATATGCGCGTCATTATTTGAAAATACTATATTGCGATATAATACTATATTGCTGTACTACATCCCTGATACTTCCATATGAATTGGCATAGGATAAAGATCTGACCTTTCCACTGATCACAATTTACTCATTTAATCCATAATCACGCTGCGGGCCACAACGTACAATTTGCTGTTAAAATAACTTGAATTGTTTTATCTCGAAGCACAGCATGTTTTCGAAGCGAAGGAACACTGTCTAAAACTGAATATCTACCCGACGCGACGAATACAACGCGTGGTATCGAAAAAAAAAATTGTGCGAGAATTGCTTTCTATATATTCTTCGACAACGACATTCGAGAAAGCTGCAACATTGTGACACGCAGAAAAGCAAGAATAAGTTGTCGGCATGCAGACAGGCAGGGTGGATAAAGATCCGCACTATAAAAACGGCCGCGACCGCACAAAAAAATAAAAATAAAAAAGAGGGCGTAAATAAGCGGGCCAATCTTGATCTGTTCGTATAACGAGTGCATCGTCTATAATAAGAAGGAAATGACGAGCTGCATCAGTATATATAAGTAGGAGCAGCAGACGACTCGTATTATACAGTACAGTATAGTCGAGCAGCGCACACTGACCTTGCCGGAAGTCTGCACCCCCTTGGACAGGCACAAAAAGACTATTGTCCAGGCCACCAGGAGGCAGAGCACGAGCTGCCACTTGGGCGCTCCCGTCTCTTCTATCCCAGCTGACATGCCTAGAACGAAGTTCCTGTCAGCACCAGCACCAGCACCAGCACCAGCAGCAGCGGATACAATACCACGAAACAAGACGGAGACGAGACAAGATTCAAGATCAATTATTGCGAAAAATAAAGGGAGATGCCTTCATCCGATCAACTATCATCGCGCGCATCCGTGAATAGGTACATGCTGTAACGACAACGACATTCGAGAAAGCTGCAACATTGTGACACGCAGAAAAGCAAGAATAAGTTGTCGGCATGCAGACAGGCAGGGTGGATAAAGATCCGCACTATAAAAACGGCCGCGACCGCACAAAAAATAAAAATAAAAAAGAGGGCGTAAATAAGCGTGCCAATCTTGATCTGTTCGTACACGAGTGCATTGTCTATAATAAGAAGGAAATGACGAGCTGCATCAGTATATACAAGTAGGAGCAGCAGACGACTCGTATACAGTACAGTATAGTCGAGCAGCGCACACTGACCTTGCCGGAAGTCTGCACCCCCTTGGACAGGCACAAGAAGACTATTGTCCAGGCCACCAGGAGGCAGAGCACGAGCTGCCACTTGGGCGCTCCCGTCTCTTCTATCCCAGCTGACATGCCTAGAACGAAGTTCCTGTCAGCACCAGCACCAGCAGCAGCACTATGTTATGGTGCTTTGTTCTGCCTCTGCTCTGTTCTAAGTTCTAGTTAATAACGCTTTTTATTTCCCTCTACGGAAGTAGGCTAGTTGATAGTAGCGCGCGTAGGCACTTATCCATGTACGACATAACGCAGCCTTAATAACTCAAGGTCAAGTCCGAGTTTACTGACTTTGTCTTTTACGGTTTCATCAGTGCAACGAAGGGAAAGAAAACTTTTAGCTTATTTTTCAATCGGATGTATCCAGAGAATCAGCTGGAGATCCTCAATAATGACTCGAACCTTCCTCAGTGAAACTCCAAAAAATTTCAATTTTTTCGATTCCCTGTCTGCATTCCTCTAAAAACAACGCATTAAGAAACCACCCGTAACTCCAATAAGGCCTTCCTCCTCAAATCTGCAAAATTGGAATTTTTAAAGGTCTTCGGGTTATTATTTTATTGACACAGGAAGGATAAACATGGTAAAAATTGCACTTGACGCGTTGTGATAGGAAGTTCAAGACTGTTTAGGCAAATAAACCCTAGCTGTCAATAAGCTAAGCAGTTATTCAACTCATGTCGAGAAGTATGTTAACGCCCGGAATGTCAATAATCCCAATTGCCTGCATTTATTCTCTCTTTCCCTCAACAAAAATGCAAATTTCCCTGACTGGAAAGCACTCAACTTTTCATCTGGTCCCTTGGATAAGTTTGGCTTAAATAAGAGGTTCGACTGCATCTTCCGGCAATACTGTATATAATTTTACATCACACACTGCAAAATTTGATATCGTCGCGTGCTGCGGAGTCTATATACAAATATATACCAACTACCCGTCTCACATTATTCGCTGTCAGCAAGGCCCAAATAAGTCAGCAATACTAAACCCTGCTGAGTATCACATCGTCTGCTGCATTATTAAGAGATTAAACTCTCGTTTCCAACTCACTCAAAGTATTCTTCAGCAGGTGTTCGTTTCGTCATGTTCGAGATTGAGGCGATGGACACGTTCATCGCTTCCAGGGCCTCAGAGGTGAAGCAGGATCTGTTGTAGTAAGTCCCGTTGTTGGCCATGCACGAATCCGCCTCCGAATACGAATAGCAATCTGACATTCGAAACGACAAACAGACGACAGACAATTACAGCAATTACAGTATTCCCATGGGAATAAAGCCGGCACGTGTATGACACAGACAACGTTGCCCTGACAAGAAATGAAGCTGCATTGAAAATCATCAGAGCCCATATTTCTTGATCGTTAATGGGTTTAATCCAGTAATGTACCCGAATTGAATGGGACAATACGTACGACAGCTTTTCTGATTTTCTTCGAGTTTCATTATTGAAAATTCGTTGCAGTCAGGAATTGAATTCCGTCCAGTATATACGGTACTACGATTTGAGAAAATAAAAATGCTGGAAATGGTCCCCTGCACATTTAAATTGCGCTTCAAGACGTTCTTGCCGAAAAGTCAAAGGAAACCGCCAAACATGCTGAGAACCATGATGACTATAATAATTATTTAATGAGTTACACACAAGACACAAAGAATTCCTATATAGTGCTGATGTATGTACGCATTACATCGCACGGATTCGTATTTACAAACTAAAATACTGTACCAAGTTACTCAGTTTACGCTTAACCTTTTCCTCTATTTTCCATTTGAAAAGACGTAAACCTTATCACAAATTTTTTAAAAAAACTTAAAGTAGTCAGTCATTAAAGTTGTTTGTTCCGTAACAAAAAAAATCTTGGCAAACATATGTGAATTTGAACTATTAGGCTTTTCAACCATGTAATCAAGTCGAAATGATTCCATGATCTTCAGTTTATTTCCGCAAAAAATCAGCAAATTAGGTCAATAAGTCGCAGCTCTCGTCTCAACTCAGCATTTCAAAGCGCAATTTCTAAATTTACAATGTTGTTATTGTTGCTGCTGTTCCTTGAATTTGAACACCAACAACGACGACTCAGCTACAATAACGAATGGGTCTTCTTCTCTGCTGTTTATACAGTATATACAGACGTTCTGAAATGTTTCAATTATATATTGAGGTGAATATTTTGTCCCTTTGTTGGGAATGAACCTCACTATATACGTCCCCTCATCATCAGCTGCATCCATCCGTGCATCCACACGAACACGAATGATACATTGTTTGATTGATCGTTGGATGAATAGATAAATAAATAAATAAAGAAGGCCCTGCAATAATAATATTAATAATAATGATAATAATATAATAATTACTCACTCTCGGTGCTCCATTCCGGCTCGCACGTCTGCCACGGCAAGTCGGCCCCCATGGAGGCGAATATGTAGTAGATGGTCCAGGCGATGATCATGTTGTAGTAGAGCATGACTATGGCCGACACGAGCACCATGGCCCAGCCCAGGCCACGGAGCAGCGGGGCGAACTCGGCGTAGAGGGCAATGGGCCCCAGGGACGCGTACTGGCCCAGCGACAGCTCCATGAACATGAGCGGCAGACCAGCAGCCAGCAGCATCAGCACAAAGGGCAACAAAAAGGCGCCTGAAAGGAGTGAATGAACAGCATTCATCATCGAGAATCAATCCCTGCATGCTGTTGGGCTTTTCAATCCAGCACCCTCATCTCATCACCACGCCGCGACAGGACAGGATATTATTGGTGCATCTGCGACCTGCTTTCCGCGTACTACATCAGCAGCAATAGCAATGAATAGTACATACATCACTGCTGTATTGCATTCTATTCACTGGATTTAAAAAATAATAATAATGTTGAAAGGAGGTGGTTTCCGAATGCTCTTAAACAGTGCTGCCCTCTGAATCAGATGTGACCAAGGGCAGCATTTCTACAGTTTTTTTTTTTTTTTTTTTTGCGTGTACTGTATAGGGTATATGGCCTATAGGGCCACATTGCAGAGGTGTAGGGTTCTTATTGGTGATGGGCCACAATAGCTGATTATGTTTAAGATCTATAATTCATGCAACAGATTTATCGCATTGAAAAAATGCATTGAAATCTGCGGAAAGTATATCGAACAGCACTGAAGTGTTGCCAAATGATGGAGCTACGCGAGAAAAATTTATATAGAAATTGTTGTAATATGTCCGTTGAATATATTTCAAAAATACTCAAAACGTATGAACCAATCCTTGAATGTATAGCCCCTACATTAATGAAAATCGGGCGAAAACTTTCTTTGGTGAAGTTCCCCGCGCGTTACTGAAAGCATCATCGGCATTTTAATGAAATGTATACAAGTTTCATCAATCCTTTTTCCGGAGATTGGGAAAAAGGGGAGAATTTTTCACACCTTCAAATTATAGGCAGCGCATGACGCTTCTCGTAAATATTTCGAGAGATTCGAGGCCTCAATTAAGAGAACAAGTTCCATCGTTTCAACCAAGTCCTCATTCTATCAGCAACACATTCATGCAGGTCTGAAGGTTCGAAATATTTTCCACAGTAGCAAATGTTACCGTTGAAAACGCCCAATATTCGAATTTTTGAAAGAGGTTTCTCATTCCAAAGCTGTCGGAAGACAGCCACGATTATAGTATTCTGCCATTTTATTCCACGTGTCAATAACACCATACTCGAGCAGATTGTGCTGACACAAAATGTACTCGATTCGCGCACATCATTTGCATCAATTTGTAATTACATACCACTATCCTTACAGATGGCACACATTATGCTGTGAACATCGATTTTCCCAATGCATTTCAGCGATGAACCCCTGCTCCTCATTAATGTTACTCAGAAAGTATAAGTTCCTTATAAATATTAACCAGGGAGTAATGCAAATTTTTTGGAATACTTCGAACGTCGGTCATTTTGAAAACAATTTTCTCATCAATTAGTAAAACCTACTCCAGAGTAAACGTTTTATTTTATGAATCAAGCAGGTTATTAAGAAGTCCCGTATGAATAGCTCATGATGGAAAGATGCAGGTATAAACTTCCGGACGATACAGTGTCTTAACAAACTCTTCAAGTCGAATATGTGGAAGGAATAGCAAAAAATTCGAATTAGGTAGGTTCAGAGGATGGGAAACGAGCTTTTCTTTTATGGGGAGAGAAAGAAGAAGGATTCATATGATTCAAAATCTACTTTTTTTTCGAATTACCCTGTTGAAAAATGTTTACTATAAATAAATGATATTAATAGACTGTTGGAGCATTTTTACAGTATTTGAGCCAAACACAATGCCCTGTTCAATATTGTACAAAGAAATCAATTATGGCTTACTCCCCCCCCCCCCCCCCCCCCCCCCCACAACTGCTCTTTTGTTGCTGCTGCTTAAAGTCCACCCCACCTTCCTGCCTTGATTTTTCTAAAAAGAAATACGCTCATGGTACTCGAGTAAATAAAGCAGCACATTATTGAAATATATGAGTCTGAAGAAAATTTCAATAGGGTAAACATTATCCATTTTTTTTTTAATTGTCACTCTCGAGTCGCGACTTCGTATATTACCCGAAACCCGAATATAAAAGACGCGCAGCTTGCTTTTTGTTATATACGCGCGGTACTCATCATGCACCCAATAAATACGGTATTGTGCAGCAGCACTACTTGCCTCCTCCGTTCTTGTAGCACAAGTAGGGGAATCGCCAGACGTTGCCCAGGCCCACCGAGTATCCCAGCAGGGACAAGAGGAAGTCGAACTTGCCGGTCCACGTTCCGCGTTCCGGCTCGTCGTCCGAGGCCTGGTCATACGTCACCACGAACGGCACTTGCGACGTGGCCACCGAACATTCCTGTTATTCCGTAGGTGTTTGCTAACTTGGTGTTGTTGTTGTTGTTGTAAGTTTTGTGTGGTTTGTTAACATTACCCTAAACCCTCACTTTCAGAAATGTGGTGAGCCCATTTCTTTCCTCCTTACGCCCGTATATGTGTGCTGGGGGGAAGGAGGCAATACAAGTAATAGCTCCAGCGAGCGCAGCGCTTCACCCTTCTTTACAACAATAATAAACCATTATTGGAGCGAAGTGAACGTTGAGCAACCATAAAAATCAAAGTAAAATACTCAACAGCTGCACTTGGAAATGTAAGCAGTTCGGTGGTTACATATATACTGTATTCGGGAGAAACATTCAGGGAATAAAAACACACTCAACACGCGATAAGTCGTTGAGGTCGACAGGTCGAAAATCAAATCGTTGAAATAAGCTTCAATATCCGAACGTGAGCCTGGGGAACAGAATTGACGTGATTCCGGTTTTCTTGAGAATAGAGAAACCGTCGTCACACCGATAACAAAGGAAAAAAAGAAGAGGGGATTTGAACACGAACCGTTTCCGTATACAGTAAATCAAATATCTGAAATACACAGATTTAGTCTCCAGGGAAGAAACTGATGCATTTGATGAGAAACACGTGTATACTGCACAAGTGCACCGAATTTCGCTGATTTCGCTTCTTTTACAATCCTGTTACGACTTGATACGACTCACATTTTCTTGAAAATTTAAGAAAACCCACGAATAAATTTTACTTGCATTTTCAAACTTTCTAGAAAATTCCGGAAACTGAGAGAGATTTTCAATGAAGAGCCGATTGTCCCATACAGTACTAAGAAAAATATTTTATGCGAACGAATACGTGTCTTCAAATGAACTGCTTTTGCTTCCTATGGCCTCAATAAGTTCCTATAATCACCTAAGGTGTATATTCGAAAAAAATCAAGTGAAAAGCTGCCTTATCAGATTTCAGAAAAGTCATTTTCTTCTGTATTTTCGACTCAATTTGAAAACTGGTCAATTTCTTAATATTCTGCCACTCGATGAAAGTTTATTAAGAACCTGAGAGATACTTCAAAATTGAACTTGAACTCAATTTCGATGCAGCATCTATTCTACGGAATAGCAAGAAAAATACAGTACAACGATTTTTAGTTCAGTCAGCACTCAGCAGTTCAATCTCAGTTTGGAAAAACTTTTCCCCGAGGTTTAAAATTTGAGCGACACCTGCCTCACATCGGAGAAAGTATGGGCGTGTGTTGGACAGAAAAGAGCTTGCTTCTACTGCAGCACTACTGTACATTTTACTGTAACTTGTTCTCATCTGAGACATCATCTCCACGTCCTGATATCAAAGAAAAGGAAGCGATATGACAGCATACGGCGCATTTTTATTCATTTCTTTTTTTGCCATCAGCAGACAATTGAAGGCAATATACGACGTGGTGGAATACGCGGAACTATATGGAAGATGATTTCGTGTGTTCTTGGATATTATACGACGGCGGACGAGAGGAGAGGAGAGGAGAAATGAAAGAAGTAAGAGGGGTTATTACCCAGCAAATGAGCATAAGGAATGCGTGTACTGTACAGTAGAAACGAGAACACACTCACGTCCCAAGGGCGTTCGTTGCCATTCCTCAGGAGGCCGCGAGCGTCGAACATGGTGGAGCCGAGCGACGTGGAGCTGTCGTCGCGTCGGATGGCGGCGGCCGACGACTCCACGTCGAGGTACTGTTGCCCCTTCGTCATGCTGATGTCCTCTTATTCAAGGCCGTCACTCGCCTTGTCAAAAACCCAGCCACCAGCAAGAGAGCCGAGATCCCTTGCTTCAGTCTACTTTCTTCTCTTCTCTTCTCTTTCTTTCTTTGTTTGTTTCTTTCTTTACACCACACTGCTATGAATAATATGAAGCACACTCCACTGCGAGGGCGAAAAATACACCAAGAAGGAGATGTATATACTGTAGATCTTTTATCTCCGCCAACCTGCAAAGGTTCTCCATATAAGAAGCATCACACAACAGCGACAAAACGTAACATCAAGTAAACTGATGCGGTGGAATTGCAGGAGTCGATTTTGTTTTATTTTTGGAAATTTTT